AAATAGGACCACCAAAATTACATCAAATAGGTAGAAATTCTGGCGAAGTACATGTTGAAATGAAAACTTCTCTAATTATTCATAAAACCTATGTGCATTTTTGTGCCCACAAGACCAACATTTACCTAATTAGAAATCAATGGATGTAAGTTCCCTGGGGCATTATCAGTGTAGATGTTTCCTCTGTAAGTAGCTAAGTCCCCTTAGTTTAGCTGTAGTTGTCCCTGTTGTTGCTAGAAGGATGAGCTAGAAAATGAACTAGATACTTGTCTGTTTACTGTAGATAAAAAAGATACTTGAACTAGTGGCCATTCTGGTGCTCTTATGGTGATAATACTCCAAAACGGTGTCCCTGCTCACTATATAGTGCACTTTGGGAGTCTGCCATTTTGTTGTAGAAGAGAATAGACTAGGCACTTTTGCAAACCCACAGTGCACCTCAATAGATAGTTTACAAATGGTATATTCTAGCAGACATGAAAAATATCCATAATGCACTGTTGTACGGAATGCAAAGTGAGTACTGGTACAGAAAGATAACTAACGCAACATTAGCATAAGGAAACACTTACTTGAATCATGAATGTAGAGAAAAGTGATTAGGGGAACCATTTTAAACACAGAGGTTTTCCCTCTTTCTGTTCTCACAGTGCATGATGGGTAAGTCTGTTGTCTCTGTAATTTGGCTTTATGTCCTACTTTATCACAGCCACTAAGGGTTACTGAATGAATGTTGATTCAAATCACTTCATGCTCTTGCTCTCTCTGTCCTTCTCTGTCTCTCTCTATCTGTCTGTCTTTCTCTCTCTAATGCCGTCTGTGCTGCATGGCCGTCTCTGTCTGTGTGTGTGCGCCCCCTGCTGTTGTGTTGGTGGTGTAACAGCAGCCTTCAGAGGAGCGGAGCTGGGTATATTCCCCCCTGTACTACGACTCTGAGTCTCAACCTGTCTCTGATGAAGAGAGCCAGACAGTAAGTGTGGGATTCAAATCAAACTCCCGCCCACTCCACCCTCCCCAAAACCTGACGAGACGACATCACTATGGATCCCCACTGAAGGAGACCTCTCTCTGGCTTTCTTTGTTCGTTTCTGTGTTCGTTCACTCATTCACATGTTCATTTACATGATTATTCAGTTATGTATTTCGTCCAGTAAAACAATCAGTCAATCATTAACTTACAAATCTAGTTATTACTGTCATTTTGCTGTATATTTAAATGTATTTATATAATTTCATAATTAACCCAGTCAAGCTTCACCCACTAATGCATTCTTCTTTTGTAGCTATTGTTTCTGGCTTGGACAAACTTTAAAGAACATCAGAAAAATCAAACGTTAGGTGTGTTTGAATGTGCCATTAGTGTTATCGTTGGTCGGTTAGACTGGAAACCTAAAGTTTCTTTCTAATTAGGTTAATCTTGCTCTTGTTAGCACACAGTATACCTGTACAATGTACAGTGGCCTGTGAACAGCATTCGAGTGTCCAGTACATGACTGCTGTATTTTGCCAAAATTCTTCCCGTTTAGTGCAAACTGCAGTTTTCTTACATAATTTTACATAAGCAATGCCCTCATCAATCACAAAGTCTGTCTCTCCCGCACAGCTTTAACTAACTGTATTCCCCATGGTCTCTCTCTATTCAATTAGTAAGAAACAGCTAAGCCAAAGCTAACAACAAAGCGAAAGCTAGACATAACAGAGCTAGCAAGCCAGCTGTCCATCTGTCTGTCGGCTGCTCATCCATACATTTAACCTTTCGTGCAGGCAGCCATGCCTGCATTCCATATTTGTACATTCCCTGTGTGAACATCCAGCAGTCAAGTGAAAAACAACCTTACTTTCTTTGAGATGTCGCCATGTAAAAGTTGGATAATGTTTTTAGTGAGTCATGGACCCAGCAGGGATTGTCTACATCACAACCTGTATAGAGCCTGTTTCAGTTATTTCTCCTCATTCACACTGTTGTATTTAGTTCTACTTCAGTTCCACAGCAGACTGGGAGTGCGGGACAGATGGATGTCAATTGCACATGCTTATTAGCATATTAGGCCACGCTTAGACAATTCTCAGTGAATTTAGCTGTTTTTTTTTAAGCAGTGTTTTATCTTATTGCTATCTGTGTAATACAAGACTCAATATTAGTACTTTTAATATTTTATTCTTTGTTCCCCTGAACTTTAACATTACATAGTGTCTCTAAACAGTGAATGATGTATGTATTTTGATAGAAATGGTGTTGTTCACTATCGCCTGTCCAATCTCGCAACAGTAACTACAAAGGAACACACTTGTGGACAGAGCATGGATAGTTAGTCATGGAATGAATTCACTTAGAACTGCACTTTTGACAGAATATTTCTACTTGTTGAGCTATTAGTGAGAAATATATAATATATAAAATTTCAATATGCCTTTTCATTATTTCTAGTGATAACTGTGACCTCTAAGGGTTAATTCATGCAGTCGTTTGGATATCCTCGTACATTTTACAAGCTTAAAAGTCCCAGTGATAACGTACGCACTGTATCCAAGAAAGCTAAAGACAAGCTAACAGCTCTGATTGTTCTCTGAAGGAAGCTGGCACACCACCCTCTCCCTGGCCAGCTCTGTTTCATTAGCAGTAGCAGCAGGCAGTAGCCAGCAGCCAACAGGGTGACCAGTGGGTGAGGTCACTCTGGGCACTGCAGGCCAGAAGGCACTGCAGAGCGACAAGGGCTGGTCACGAGGCACAACATGCTCATGTTCGTGCTTTCACGCTAGAGGCACACTCTTATGTCATACTTCACCTCTCTGTGTGCATGTGTGTGAGTCAGGAGCGTAATGTAAGTGGACGGGGATGTGACAATGAAGCGATTTCGTCCCCCCCAGTAAACGGTTTCAATAATGGAAGAAAGAAGAAACATGTACAAAAACATGTAATAACACCTTTAGGGGCAGCACTGAGTAATGTCTGTTTATTTAAGCTTAAGCTGTGTCTGTCCAGTTTGTTACCCTGCATTTACGTTAGCATATGACAGAGCAACATGCGACCGGTCATTCCTTACAGGAGTGGTCAACTTGTAGCTGAGCTTTAGTGATCAGCAACAAATTGAGTTTTCTCTATTTTATGCAAATTAATTATGATGCTAAGAAGCAACAGTCTCAGAATGTTTCAGGTCTGGATTGTAACACATTAAACACTGTTCACTAAAATGTGTCCCCAGTTTGACCAGACAAGATCCCGCATAAAAAAGCACATCAACACGTGTCGCTTCTATTTTACTTTGGTGTACTCTTTTCCCCTTTATAACACAAGAAATAATGAAAACACATTCTGTTTACACTTAGTTTAATGTGGTCAAGATCTGTCTTGGTCCACCTCTGAATGTGGCTTGAGTGAGCCAGTCGTACTCTGATCTCAATCCGTCTTGGGGGTGTTTACATTTTCATTAAATCAAGTGAAATCTGAATGTCTGTGCAAGGTGTGAACAGGTCCTAAATAAATTAATTCAGCAAATTTCTTGAATCAGTCATAGATGTGTTATTCAAGATCTCAGCCTCTCTCTTAGCTTTTAGTTCCCCTTTAGCATTTTGTTTCTGTGCTTAACCAAAAAAAATGGAAGAGACTTACAACTGTGGGTTTCATTCTTTTTTGTAGGACACTGGGCCTCATTCACCACCCGTTCTTAAGAAGAAATTTCTTTTTAAAAACCACTTATGCCATTTTTCACGAAGATTCTGACATTCAACAATGTTTTCTAACTTGGATTAGTTCTTAAGTAAGAATAGAATCTATGAATACTCAAGAGCACAAATGCGCTAACAATTCTGGGGTTTAAGAACATGTCATGAATCTGACGTAGACTTTTTCTTAGGATCTTTCTCAAGAACATATTTAAGAAAAAACTTACATTGGTGAACGAAGCCCATTGTTTCTTTCAGTGTTTGTTTTTCTCATCATTAGAACACAGCAACTGTCCTTTCACATAGTTATAATAAAATCTTTTTACAAGAACTTGCATTGAAAGTTAAGAACATTTGCCTTCTCCTGTGAAGTTACCATTTTAGAGATACTTTTATTTGGACAGCGACAAGATATTTTGCCATAACATTTTTTTGCTGGAAGCTGGACATGTCAGAGAGTCTGGTGCGTTTTGTCGTCTAATGTGGTGAAGAATCGCCTACTTTGACAGGAAGGGTTTGTACTGACCTGCAGAATAACCAATCACAGACCATCTGCCATGTTTGGGTGGACAATTTTCAAAACAGAATGACAGCAAATACACACCTGCAGGAGATGAATGATGTGAGCCAGCGAACAAATGAGGAAATCTCACATAGCTGCTATATGTTTGAAAGAAAAACATGTTGAAAAGCCTTTAAAGATGTGGTGCTACAAACTTCACACACATCTTTCAATGTGCTAGTTTTCCTCTATCATTAGTAACACCAATATTAGCTGCCTGAAAACCTTTCTGACTTACAGAAACACAATTATAGCTATTTTTCATTCTTTTAGGTGGGGAACACTTCACAAAGTAGTGTTATGTAACCACAGTTCACCAAAAAATGAAATAGTATTGTATGTTATTTAGAAAATGTCATTTTTAGGTTTTTCAGTTTGTAAAGAGTGCTAAGGTAACATTTCACTGTTAGCATGTATGCTAGCGGCATCATACCAGTTATCTACTTGCACCAGAATGGATACTAAAATTGTGTGTTGACATGTGGATTTCAGTTTTTAAAACTATCACTGTGTAAAGAGATCCTTGTAAAAAGTTCACATTATTAGCTTGTATGCTAGCACCCCCCCCTCCCTAGTAATAAATGAACAGTTGTGCTTGTAGTGCTTATATTAGGTCTCATGCTGGTAGCGCAGGTGCGCGTCTATCACAACTGTTTGGAAGCCTGTAACAGTTTTTACTAACCTCTCTCTCTCTCTCTCTCTCTCTCTCTCTCTCTCTCTCTCTCTCTCTCTCTGTCTCTCTCTCTCCTCTCTCTCTCTCTCTCTCTCCCCTCAGTAAACTCTATGCAGCGTGAGAGGTGTTAAGGTGTGCTGTTAGGCCTGAGCCGCTCTGTCTTTCAGACTGAAGCAGCCATGCCGATCCATGAGCCCCCCCGCAGCAGGCACCCTGCTCCACCGAGCATCATGGAAAAAGAGACTATGGAACTTTCCAGAACAAAAAAAAAAAAGGAAAAATAGAAAACATCTGCCAGCTCGTTTTTCAGCCTTCCCCAAACTCCCATTGTCTGTCAGTAGTAGAGCAAACAAGCGAGAACTGTTGCACACGAAGGACTTCCCGGACGTGCATGTCTGTCTCCGAGGAATGCATGGTGCGGACAATCCAGAGCGTCCTGCGACTGCTCTTCAATCATTCCATGGCCCAAAAGTGACCATTCCCTCAGTCATAGCAGTGAGGTTGTTCCATCTTCTTTGAGCGAGCGTCTTTACAGAATCTTATGTGTTTTTGTTATGCTGACAATTCACTGTTTCCCCTTCAAACTGTTGCACTGTATTAATCTGTGTTTTTATTTACTCTTGAAGATGTTCAAAATATAACATCGCTGTCAGATCTAAACCTCATAAATTTTTTTTGCCATTTGAAAATGTTAGATGGCCTTTAGATTTCATGAGGATTGAAATGATATACAGTACTGTGCAGAAGTCAGAGACCACACTTTCTTTATTTCATTTTCAGTCAAAACGACCATTAGATATTCAATTTTGAGCATCAGGAAAAAAGCTGAAAACATGTTTAACACAAAATTCTACAGAAGCCTCAACAACTAAATATAATATCAGTTTTTAGTAGTTAATTTGTTCACCCTTTATTACAGCTTCCATTATTTTCAGGAGATTTTCCATTTTCATGTTTTCAGGCATATTTTTCCACACCCCTAAAGTTCAGTCTTAGTAGTTGGTTGCATTTTCTGCTCTTCACAATTCAAGTAGTTCCAAACACATTCAGTGACGTTAAGGTCTGGACTTTGGGGTGATCAAGTATTGTTCTGAAAACACCACCAGCTTCTTTGTTTGATTTTTCCTTTTTCTTCATCTTTTTTATCCATTTTTTTTTCTCAGTAAAAGCTTCTTGACAGCTACACATCCTTTCAGACTCACAGTGCTGAGTTGTCTTCTCACAGTGGAAGGATGGACAGAAACACGTGGATGTTTTCAGATCTGAAGCAAGAGTGGAGCTTGATTCTCTCCTCTCTCTCAAAGATGAAAGTACTGTTTATTTGATGGGGACAGTTTTGTTGGTCTACCAGGTCCTGCATGGTTGTCAGGACTCAAATTTTCTCTGTATCAGATATTTCCCCTGAAAAATTATTTGAAATATTTTGACTCGAAATTATATGAAGGAAAGGGTGGTGGTCCCTGACTTTTTGCACAATTACTTGGAATAAAGTCTTACTACATTTACTTAAAGTTAATGTTTTTTTTTTTCTTTTTTATTTTGAGTATATGAGGTTCTGACAGTGATGATGAGACTAAACCCCCTGAAATGGGTTTTGTTTATTTGTCAGTGATGTTATTGTGCTGTAGGAGTCTACAGGTTGAGAACTCTGACTGCTATTTCATGTGTTATATAACATATCAGTGGGTGTGACTCAGCCACCATTACCGGCTTACAGCCACAGCCAGAAGGCTTCACTATAATGACCTTTCAGGGTTCAATATTTCATTTTCAGCATATCAAATGACAACAAAGGGCACTGGTGCAAGTACTGTGTCTCGTAACAATCAATACTCCAACAAACCACAACTACTGTAATATATTAACGTGAATAAAGGATGTCTGCTCTGTCTTTATGTTTTTCCTTTAGATATTATTTAGGTCAAGGAAATTTATAAGTTTCATTTTCTGTGTCTTACTGATTGTTATAAATTTTAAAATATATAGCAACTATAGATTTCAAGCAGTCATACTGTATATTAACTCCTGCTGTATCGGGCGATTGTTTTTCTTTGTTCTTATGGGAACGACACTAAGTTAAGGTTCACTAAATCATTCCTAATGTGACATCCTTATTCTTCTTAATCTATTTGAAGAGTTCAGACATTCATGGTCTTACTGCCATGCAACTATCTATGCTGTGTGTGTGAGTGTGTGTGTGAGTGTGTGTGTGTGTGTGTGTGAATACTGGTCCAAAAGTTATTAAAATGTATTAACATGTATACCTGTCTACAGATAACTCTATATACAACCGATTTTGTTTTATTTTCTTAAAACCTGTTAAAAAAACATTTCCAGTTCTATTTTTAAAGTTTTATTTCACTCAATTGAAAAAGATTTCTTATTTATTATCTTTTATTAATATCATCTGATGGAAATCTGTCAGCTTTATAGTTTTTTAAAGAGTCTTTTATATGTTTTTGTGTTCATGTCAGATGAACCGAATGTCTTGTTCTATTGTGCCGTTCAACCTTGTAATGGCAATTACCAGTTACTCAGTGCAAATATCAGTCAGTTCCTTTTGGATTTTGATTTGGTGTAGCAGTAAAATCCATAGTATCATGATACAGTATGTGATTGCCTTATTTGGACAAGTCAAATGAAATGATAAATTTCCCTGTGTGGTCACGATGAATCGACGTTTATTTTTCCCAAATGTTATCTGGAATTCCACCGATTTTTCAACATTTCTGCATAATTAAATAGTTAAGATGTAAACAAAGTCATTCAGGGTTAATGTGAAATACTCCGTTCTAGAGAAATGTTGTGATTTGTCAGAATTGTTGGCAGTGGTGGTGAGATTTAAGGCGTTTAAACTCTCTAAAGCTAAGTCACAGAAAGCTAGTATATGAATGGTTACGAACACGCTGCCTGATAACCGAGACATTATTTTATGATAGTTTTTAAAGTTTAGAATTATAAGTTAATACAAGCTTATACGTTTGAGAATAAGTTAATACATGAAAAAAAAATCAAATATGCCATTTTTCATGCACAATACAATTAACTTAAATTAGCTAAGTTCAACATATTGTAAAAAATATAAAAGATAAAATATAGAATGTGTCATTGCTTTTGCACAGGCCACATTTTATATGTTTTATGCATTAAAATGTGCAGAAGCATGTTCTCCGGAGAGGATGTGTTAACTCATGTTTTACCTTAAAAATCTTCAAAAATGTCATTTGACTGGGGCGCCCAAACTTTTGTCTACATTAGTCTACATTTCTCTACAATTAACTATTTCACGTCAAAACACTCTGGATGACTCTGTTTACATCTCTTCGAATGAATTATGCAGAAATATTTTTAAAATCTGCAGAATTTCCCTGTATGGAGCAGTTTGTGTTGTAGCTATAATGTACATATGTTCTGAACAGTATAGTGTAGTATATGTTTCAAACTATAAGGTTTATTTTTGACTGCATGTGAAACCATAGTAAGATGGGATGAGGACACAGTAAATCAGGCTTGTCCTCCATTCCCAAGTCTGTCAGGTGCTTTAGCTGTTCAAATGTCTGGTGCAAAGCTGTTTGTGTATACAATGAAAAAAAAAAAAAATCATCAGTGATTGAGGAGTGTGAGTGTGTATGTGTGTGTGCATGGGTGTACGCTGCTGTGTGTGTGTGTGAGAATGTGTATTTCATTATTTATTGAGGAATATGTGCTTTATTTTTAGGCTTCATTTCCAACTGTCTTTTTTCCTGAAAAAGTATGCATGTATTCAGTACCAAAAAAACATTGCTGAAATATTTATCTGTAACCATCTGTGTCTGTCTCTTTAAAGGGATAAGTTGATGGTAGATGGTAATGATGTAAAAATTGAGAACAAATAAAAGTACATTTGAAAAAGAGAGCAGTTTATCTGTCTTCTTGTACTGTTTTTACAAATTTGCAGAAACAACATGGCTACATACAGCTAGCCTGAGCATTAACTAGCTTGGAGGCGTGTTCCATACCTTATAAAAACATCACATCATTGTTTTGACTGATAACCAGAGGTGGGTTAATTATGACTTTAGATTCCAATGATTATGAAGACAAGATAATCGATTATATAAACAGATACAGAAGACATAATGAAGATATAATGATTATTGTGCCGCATTCCCCTTTGCAGTGATGTTCTCATTTTGTTTTGTGTTATAAATCCAGAGCATATATATGTCCAAGTTCATTTTCTCAAAAAATAATTTAATAAATACATGACATATACCAAATTATTCAACAATGCCTCTTGTATGTGGATAAATTTTCATTGCATCAATAAAAACGTCTTGCCTCCAAAGTCTAAAATTGTTAAGTGGTGCAACCAACCAACCATATATGTTGATTAACTATGAAAAAAGGGTTATTAAGTTATAAAAATGCTAAATCGAATCATTTGGCATGATTTTTACATTGGAAAACTTTAAAATAAACAACATTACAAAAAAATTAGGCAACTTTAAAAGCACTCAATTCACTGAAAAACATTTGTCCCTAAATTCTTACTTCCTCAAATGTCAGTACTGCATTATAACTAAGACCCCAAGGCCTTCATAGTAGGTCCTGGCATTCACAAATTTTGGAAAAAATGTCATTTTTGAGTCATGATTAGTTTGGTTCAGTTTACCATGTCAGGTGGTGTGACCTCAGGAAAACCATGAAAATGTGTGATTATTATAAGTGTTTGTTTACTTGAAAAAAATGTAAGTACAAATTGCCAGGACTACTGTTTCTTTGGGTGTCTAAGTAGATGCCTGTTCAATCTGAAATGAATCTGAAAAGTCAGGTGGCACAACCAGTAAACCAGCTTTAGTAACTAACTTTAAAATCATTTTAAAACTGTGATTGTGTGACAAACTATATTTAAAATACATAATATACATTGTCATTTTTAATAAGATTAAAAAAGACAACTCTTCAAAGTCCCCTGATAGCAAGAGGACAGTGGTCCACTGTCCGCCCGCTAATGGCAAAGCTGGTGGTCCACTGGCGTTTTGCTCAGCGTTGCTCAGCGGGCGGCCCGCTGGCGGTTAGGCAGAGTATTAAACAAAAGTCCAGTTATCATCACTCATTTTCCACTCACAGTCCAATTTACTGATTTTTCCTTTCTTCCTTTCTTTAGTTACATTTCGATTAGTAAATAATTTTAATCTAGCACAGCTTTAGCAACAACACTTTCTATAGTATCATTTTATATCAGGCCTAGTCATTATTTATTTTATTCTTTTGGTTGTTTGCAAAATTTGTGTAAGTTTATTTTCTAAAATAAAAGTCTCTGTGCATTTAAAATCTCTTTGAGGAGATTAAAAACTAGGTAGAGCTTGTACACTGGACAGTAATCTGGGCGGTCCTAGGGTGAACCAGCAGTGGCAAACAGTCAGTGGGGTGCCAACCTTTTCAAACCAGTGGACCGATATATGCTTGCGGTCTGGATCCAAAGTCACAGAACAATCATGTTAAATAATCATGATCTCAATACAAAATACTGATCTTCTCAGTAAATGCACAGGAACTTAAGTTTGTTAGGCACTATTATTCATTTATATGAGTAGAAGTAAATGTATTATAACTTAAAAATACTCATGAGTGTACAAATCCATTAATATTTCACTTAAGTACTTCAATAAATGTAACTACAGTTATTACCCACCTCTGCTGGTAACAACACAGTTATGCTTTGTTTATTAATTTAACGTGTTAAAAATTTGCCAAATATGTAGTGACTGTACAACATGCATTTCTCATAGGACGTCTGTTTTTAATACTTCTAAACCACCAACAATAAAGACAATCCATTCGTTATGTATATAATCGTTTTATGTCTTCAGTACAAACATACTAACTTAACGCTAGTTAACTAATTCTGACG